GTATTTTCGCAAAGTGCCTCTTTCTCTTTCTCAGAGCCAATACCATTCCAGCTAATGTTCAAGGAGATATTGCAGTGTTTTTACAGAGAGCCGTCGATAAGATTTCCCCTCAGAACCAAGAAGTTAATGTAGTGTTTTTGCAGAGGGCCTCTGTTAAGGCTTTCTTCCCTTCAAAACCAAGTGGACTACCATAAAGATTCAAATGATTCAGAGTGGCATTCCTGTAAAGAACCTCAGCTAACACTTTCAACCCTCATCACCAAGTTTGTTGTGATCAAGATTCAAAGAATTTAAAGTAGAATTTTTGCAGAGGGCCTCTGCTAAGGCTTTCCCACCTTCAGAACTAAGTTAATTATCATGTGGACCAATCGTAAATAATCTGCAATGTGTGATCCAATGTCCACACAACGCTTTTCCTTCATCAGAACCAAAATGATTAGAAATATTTTTGCAAAGAACTTCTGCTAAGGCTTTTCCTTCATTAGAACTCAGTTCATTATAGCTAATATCCAATGATTTTAGAGTAGTGTTTTTGTAAAGAGCATTTATTAATGCTTTTCCACCATTAGAACCAAGTTTGTTAAAATAAAGATTTAAAGAATTCAATGTAATGTTTATACAAAGGGCCTCTGCTAAAGCTATTCCACCCTCAGGACCAATTTGATTGGAGTAAAGATTTAAAGAAGTTAATGTAGTGTTCTTGCAAAGAGCCTTTGCTAACGCTTTACCTCCCTCGGAAAAAAGACCATTATATCTGAGAATCAATGAAATTATTGTAGTGTTCTTGCAAAGAGCTTCTGCTAATACTATTCTACCTTCAGGTCCAAGTTTAATACTGCTAAGTTAAAGTTGTGTTTTACAAAGAGCCTCTGCAAATGCTTGCACCCCTTTAAAATCAATAGTATTATTTGTAAAAATCAAGGAAGTCAATGAGGTATTCTTGTAAAGAAGTTCTGCCAACACATTTCACTCTTTAAAATTAATATTATAAAAATTTAAAGTTATAGTGTTTTTGCGAAAAATCTTTATTATTTCCATAGCTTTAAAATCAAATTACTTTGGATTCAATAATCAATAGATTTAATAGTAGTATTTTTATAAAGGTTTTCAAATATTATTTTATTATAAACAATCCCAGTAAGATTTAAATGTTAAAGGTTCTTACTTGTTCGTAGGATCATTGTTATTAAAGAACGTTTAACGGCGTCTTCAATACGATTTCCAATACCATATCTTCTATAAAGCAGCCACAACTGGAGTCCATGATAAAAACAACTATTAACACATTTAATATAATTAGTATATTCAAATAATAGTTTTGGATAATTTGGAAGGATAAAATTAAAAGAGAGTAATGGCGCTTGTTCCTCGGTAACAATAAAAGAAGTGTTCTTATAAGTTTTTTATTTTTAAAATGGGTATTCGGTTCGCTCCATAATATTGGTACAATAATTGTCGCGGATCATAATTTAAAATGAAATCTACATTTTCTACTCAATCTGTTAACCTTCTAAAACCCACTTATATTTGTTTATTATAACTTTACTTTAAAACTAACCCCTAATCCTAACCCCTATCTCTAAAAAATGCACCCCAAAAAATTTTATTTTTCGAGATTTTATATTATAGTTTCATTTTGATCTGGATTTCATTATGATCCGTCACAATAATTCTACACCACTGGCGGTTTACAAGAGGACATACGAATAAAATTTTTGTGACTAGTCTGGAAGTTATTAAATATGTTAATAAGGCATTCATTTGGTAATGCTATCATGGTGTTTCGTTTATTCGCACGAGTAATACGTACAATTTAAATGGATCAACACTGTGGTGATAACGCAGTTGATTTATAATCAAAATCATGTGATTAACTAAAAAACAATACTTGTATGTGTACCACATCAAAGACTTTATTAAAAAAAAAAATTATAGCCAACAAATTATACAAATTGCAATTTTTTCTTAATATGTATTTGTTAAACAAATAGCCAACAAATTATATAAATTGCAATTTTTTCTTAATATGTATTTGTTAAACAAATATATTTTTTTAAAATAAGCGCATTAATCTGTCCGGTTTATAATTGATTTGATTGGCCGATTATTATTCATGTGATTCATGTTAAATCATTATCTAGATACTGTAATCTATTTATTTTGGTTTGCACTTTAGGCACGGAAATACGTATATTTGTATATTCTATGTTTTTAAGCACATTAAATAACAGAATCAACGATAAACTAACGAATTTACACAAAAACTACACTTTCACGGAATTTCGCAGAATATGTTAAAAAAAAAAACGGCCCATAACATTGCAAGTATATTTTAATGCCGACTGAATTAAACGGTTAGACATTTTAGGCTGTTCCAGTATTTAGTACATAAAAAAAAATTCCACATACAACTTATACATTTAAAAAAAAATTCGTGTACAATCATAAAAAACCAGATCAATGATCATTGATTTTAATAAATTTGCTTTCGCATTAAATGTGCCTACATACCGTATTGTCGCGAAATAATGGGCATAGGAATAATGTCCCGAATTAAGACCAATTTAGGTCGAAATTCGTAATTTTACCCCTGCGCGACAATACGGTATGATTTTTCAAGTTTTAATATGGAATTATTTAATTCCAACAAAACATTTCTGTCTTTTTGCCATTTCACAAAAATTTGGAGTTTTTTGGCTGATAGTCGTTTTTCAGGTTCTTTATTCCCAATATTCTTCTTATTTGTTAACAGGTGATCGTAAATCATCATAACATATTATTAATTGTTCACTAAATTTATAATCATAAGATACGGAGATACTGACTGTATAAGATTTCTCACATTATCATTCCAAATGAATAAATATTGAACCTATATAGCATATGGCTGGCCAATTCGTCTTTCGTTTTATAAGGAATTAGAATATGATAGTCCCAGATCAGAGATATACGCACTACATAAATCGTGTGAATCTCGATAAAAATTTCTTTGAGCATGGATTGTTTCAAGATTAAAAATAATATAATTTAATAGTTTTAATTTATTTTTCAATTTCATTCGGGATACATCATGAAAGTTATCTCGTAAAGAGCTTATTTTTTACATAAAATTAAACATGATTTGAAATACCGTAGTTGGAAAGATACAAACCTTGAATAGATATGCTTTGTCTACTTGAATTTAAAGTTTCGTTTATTTTAATCGGTTTGCTCGTATACATGTGATTCGGATGAATCGATGATTCGATTTTTGGTATTATCTTATCGGCTTCCAAGAATTGCTTTTTGATCTCGTTGTCATTCTTTTGTTTCATCTCATCAAGCCAATGGACAATTTTTGAACAGATGATAGTAGCAGTTGGTCGTTCATTAGGATCAGAATTCATACATTTCTTGGTCAAGCTCACATAGCATTCTGGAGTTCCTTCGCCAAATTTTGGTCGTTCATTTTCATTACAAATTTTTGAAGAAAGTTCAGTATTAAAAGGAACACCATCAAATGCTTTTTTCCCAGAAGATATCTCGGTCATAATAACACCGAAAGAGTATATATCAGCCGCTTGCTTAAATTGTTGACCCATTAAGACTTCAGGTGTTACGTATGGCATGACACCATGAATTTTACCATCCTGTTTAATATCAGACGATGTTGAAAGACCCAAGTCTGTGATGTACGCATTATGCAAATGATCTTGCAAGATATTTCCAGAATGCAAATCTCTATGAATTAATTCTTGGGAATGAATGGATTCAAGATCCGAAGCTATACAATGCAACAGATTTAACTTTTTTCCCAGTCCATTTTCACAACTTTGATAAGGTTTTCACGTAATGATCCTTCTTGTGCATATTCCAAAACTATAATATAATCTTTGAAATCTGGATCTCTTGATACTCCGTAGCATTTTAAAAACGATGGATTTTCGTATCCAGTATTAATATACTTTTTTAACTATTTGATATTTAAATCATTAAATGACTTAAATGGTGAAATAAAATAAGTACAAAATTAATTAAATAATATTACCTCATCAACAAATTCTTGACTATATTTATTTGAATTATGAATTAATTTTAGTGCAACTGATTTTTGTAAATTTTCATTTTTATCAATCCATTCTGCAAAATATACAGTTGCAAATCCACCTTTTCCAATTTCTTTTACGTTTTCAAATTCGTTATAAGGAATCCACGTTAGTTTATACTTTTCGTCATTTATTACTTTCTTTAATCCGTCATTATCTAAGCCTTCCTGTGATCCATGTATGTTTATCTTTTTTATATTTCTTCCCTTTCGATACCAATAATTAGCCCGTTGTATGTCTCTTACTACTCCTATCCCCTTTCTATAGCAGTTACCAACTTCTATCATTCCTCTAACGTCCTCCATATCTGCTGATTTTTTTAAACTAAATTCTTGATGCATGATTATTGCGATCAAAGAGCAATAGTAAAATAAGAAAAATTTATTAGTTATATGCTATTGTTTTTGTTTTAATTTAGATAGATCAAAGACGATATTTTGGATGACCGGAATTTACTATATGTCGTATTAACCCTGACTGGAACGTGTATTGATATAATTAAAAGTGAAAGCCAATTTTATAACTTATAGCCATTCTCAATGAATTATCGTGTGTATTGAAATTGTAACTAAATTAGTTAAGTAAAAAAAAAAAAAAACAGTATTTAATTAATATGTGAATGCAGTTTGGCAAATAATACTTTTTATAAGTTTCTCTAATGGTTTGTACACTAAAACTACTGTAATAAAAAAAAAAAAGATAATTGGGATATAAAATTGCTAAAATTCAAGAGAAAAAAAAACCAATATATGTAAAAAATAAGTTTCATAAGTGAAAGTTTTCCTAATTTAAACTAAACGTAAGTTATATACATTTTATGCAAGCCTCATTTTTTAATGTAATAATAACCAATATTGAGCAATTTAAATCATAGTTCATCATTTTAATTCGCCTGACACTAGTTGAATTGAGTCTTCTCCAATATACAAGATTGAATCGCTTAACAATGTAGCGCTGTAACTTTGCGTTCCACTATACACTAATGCTGATGAAAGTATAGATCAATATACAGTAATTGTAAAGAATCTAATATGTTCATTTTATAAACACAATATCTGCCATAACTATATATTTTATGCCCCAAAATTACTCCTTGAACAAATTTAATCTCTTCGCTTCTATCAATCCAGAAGTAGGTATTGACCCGCTCCATTTACCCAATACTGTATCATATTTACTAACAAGATTTCCAGCATAGGATCCACCAATATAAAAAATTGTAATCTCATTAACATAAGCTATCGCTCCAGTTTTATAAATCTTCCAAAGCATTAAATTTATTTGAGTGGTTAATATCTGTGATCCCAGCCAATTTGAAAATAAAGTTACAAGAATTGCACTATGTTCTGCCGGTCATTATCTAAGTACTTGTTTTGACGCCTCGAATACTCAATAATGTTACTTTTTACGTATTTATGTTCCATATATATTTATTTTTTTAATACAAACTAAGAAATATTGAACAACAATCAAAAGTTGGAAGATTATATAACTCATAAATAAAAATTGATTATTCAAAATATCAATTTAAATTATCAGTTTTTACTATAATGTTTATAATCACCTGCTTCATTTATTAATTAATTAATTCCGATTTCAATAAACATTACTCATTTAAAACTAAATTGCTAGTAAAAAGAAAAAATGAAGAATATACCATCCTTTGTAGTACTTTACGAACCAATAATCTCATAATAAATATGTTAATGTAATGTTTGTTGGAAAAATTTTTTTAATACCTTTACGCTTTTTATATTGTTGCAATTTTTGAAATCAATTGGATTTGCATCAAGATTTAAATAGTATAACGTACGATTTTTATAAAGAGCCTCCACTAAGACTTTACAGATTTCAAAATTAAGTTTATTGTAAGAAAGATCTAAGGATTTTAGAGTAGTGTTTATGCGAAGAGCTTCTGCTAATGCCATTCCTCCATTAGATTCAATCTTATTATGGCCAATATTTAAAAATGCTAAAGCAACATTTTTACAAAGGGCACTTGCTAATGCTTTTACTCCTTCAAAATCAAGTTTATTTCCCTGCATATTTAAGGACTTTAGAGTAGTATTTATGCAAAGAGAATTTGCAAATTCTTTTCCTCCCTTAAATCCAATCTCGTTACCACTAATATTTAAAGAAGTAAGAGTTTTATTGATGCAAAGAGCCCTTGCTAGTACTTTTCCTCCTTCAAAATTAATCTTATTACTGCTGATATCTAAGCAAGTCAAAGTCGTGTTTATATAAAGAGCCTTTGCTAACGCTTTTACTCCTTCAAGACCAGCATTATTACAACCAATAAGTAAAGTCTTTAAAGTGAGGTTTTTATGAAGGACCTCTGCTATTGTTTTCACTCCTTCAGAACTAAGTTGAGTATTATAGATGTTTAAATGAGTCAGAGCAATATTTGCGCGAAGAGCTTTTGCCAGCACTTTCCCATTCTCAGAACTAAGTCGAATAGATGAAATATTTAAGGATGTTAAGGTAGTATTTATGCAAAGAACCTCTGCCAGTACTTTTATTTCTTCAAAATTGAACTTATTATACCCAATATTTAAAGACGTTAAAACGTTATTTACAGAAAGAGATTGACCTGTAGAGTAAAAACACCATAAATAGTGAGAGAAGTGGTGAACATATAGAAGATCTGTGAAAAAGATTTGGCCTTACCAAATATAGAACAACTTTGGCACAAGAAATCTAAATTGGAGGATGTAATTGTAGAAACTATCTTCAAAATTAGTAGAGGCTTAGTTTACAAGTAAAGTAGCCTGAAACCCCAAAACAAAGTTAGATTTGTGTTGCAAAAAAAAAAACAATAAAAGTCAGAGAACTTAAATAGAGAACTCACAAGCAAGTTTTAAATATGGCAATTAGCAAATACCTGCGGGCAGAACCTTTAAATAGACAATAACTAAAGTTGTATATGTGGCTAATTGTGGTCTTGCTAATATACAAAATATAATACCCCTATATAAAAGTAAAATAATAATTAATAAAAAATAGAACTAGAGCTTCCTCTTTAAAGCCAAAAAAAAAACAAGTATTAGTAAGTTTGATTTTATTTTTTACCTTATATATATATAATCTAAGCATAATAATATTCTATTTTAATAGCAACAAATATATATAATGAACTAGTAGATATACTATAAAATTTAGCTTTTAATATAATTAATTTTATAAAAAATATATAAAGATTTACTAATATAGACACTAACTACTATTAATATCGATAAGAGCATATTCCGTTAAGATTAATTTAAAGAAAACTCTATTAATATTTAAAAAACAAAGCTTTGCTATTATTTATCTATTTCTAATATTATATGAATATCTTAAATAATTTAACACTATATAATAAATTATACTTTGGGCCAAGAATTGTAGTTGAAGCCAAAAAGAATATTGGCATAGTGATTTTTAAGCTAAATTACTATTATTTAGTCAAGACAAAATTTTTATTAACCAAGATATTAAAATTAAAGTTTTTTATAATTCCTAATAATCAGAATACCTTTCATTCTTTTATTGTATTTATATACATTTGTTTATATATAAGATATCTTTTTGTGCATCTTGCTTTGCTATTATGGGTTTAATATATTTTATAATAATTCAATACTGCTTTTTTATTTTATATTTATATATTAATACTGAATTTTGGATTATCTTTATTTATTTTAATAGTTTATTAATAATTTAGTATTTTTATAATTAAATTCTACTGTATGTTAGGGGCGTGCCATTTATCACGTGATTTTTACCATGGATACATGGGTCAGGCGGGTGATCACGTACATATATATATATATAATATAGTATATAATCAAATATAATGAAATATATAATATATAAATTATATATATATTTTATAAAT